GCTGGGGATATGGCTCAGTGGTCGGGTGCCCCTGAGTTCAATACCCGGTACCCCAGAAATAAATAAATAAATAAATAAATAAATAAAAGAGGCTGGAAGTATAGCTCAGAGGTAGAGTGCTTGCTTAGCATGTTCAAGACCCCAAGTTCAATCCCTGGTACCACAGATAATAATAATTGATGTAAAAATCATATTAAAATGTTTATGTCCATGTGTGTATAAAGACACTTGGAAAAAACCCACAATAGCCACCAGCAGTACAGGGTTATTGAGCACTTCAAACATGGCCAGTCCAAATAAGGACCTGCATTTAAGATTTATTTAATATAAAATGTCAAGCCTGATGTTCAATTCAGTTATTGAAAAACTTTTTAAGTGTGTTTGGAACAACTCAGGTAGGTGAATCTACGTTTTCCACTGTAAATTTTGTAAAATCTAAGTCCAGTCCAGTACTTCTTTCTGTTTTGTTTTGTTTCACTGTGTTTTGGTCTTTGCTGGTCTAGGCTGGGCTTTGAAATCCTGGGCTCCAATGATCCTCCCACCTCATCCTCCTGAGTAACTGGGACCGCAAGCATGGGGCCACCACACCGAGTGGGGCCAAGTATTTCTGATGAACACGTAACATCTGAATTGAGTGTAAAATACACACTGGATTTCAAAGACCGAATAAGAATTTTTAAAAAAGCAAAATATCTCATTAATTATTTTTATGCTAACTACATCTTAGAATGACAATATTTGAAAATAAGAATCGAATAAAATATATTATTAAAATTAATCTCACCCATTTTTCATTTTTTAACAGACCAATTAGAAAAATCTTAGTTGCACTGTGGCTGGCATCGGATTTCTATTAAATAATGTCCCCGAGGAGGCACTCATTATTTTAACCAGTGAAAAATAAAGGGGAAAGAAGAGCGAGCATCAGGGGCTGGGTAAGAGAACACAAGCATTTGTCCTATACTGTCTTTATCTCAGAGCGACCAAATGGTTGATGAAGATAAGTTTCTCCTTTTAGAGGGTCTAGGAGCCAGTCGGTGGTATGTGCCTATGATCCTGGCTACTCTGGAAGCTGAAGTAGGAGGACCACAAGTTCCTACATGCCAGGAGGGAACCCAGGGCCAAACTGGTGCTAAGTGAGTCACCCCCGCCCCCCCAGCCTGGGGCTATTTTTGAGTCTTGATCTGTTAGAGATAGACACTGAACTATTCTTGGGATTGACTTCCAAATGATAGAGGATCCAGGGAGTGGGAGGCAACAGAGATGAAATAAGATCAGCCGTGAGTTGATAACTGTTAATCCTGTTGGGTTCATGGGGTGTATGACACTTCTCCCTGGGCCTGAAGTGTTTGGAAATTTTAATCGTGATTTTTGTTTGTTTATTTGTTTTAAATCAGGGCTGGGGATGTAGCTCAGTGGTAAAAATGCTTGCCCACTAGGTGTGAAACCCTGGGTGCAATCTCCAGTGTCACAAAAAAATAAATAAATAAAAAGTAAATTCTGAAAAACAAAATAAGGAATGAAAGCTGGGAGGGAGTGTGGCTCAGTGGTAGAGTGCTTGTCTCACATGTGAGGCACTGGGTTCGATTCTCAGTACCACACATAAATTTATAAATAAAATAAAGGTCCATCAACAATTTAAAAAAAATGTTTAAAAATAAAAGTGGGCCAAATGTGATGGTGTGTGCCCGGAATCCCAGCTAGCTAGGAGGCTGAGGCAGGAGGATTGCAGGTTTGAGGCCAGCAGGGGCAATTTAAGGAGGAAGACCTGTCACTAAATAAGATTAAAAGGGCTAGGGGTGTAGCTCAGTGATAGAATCAAGAGGCCCTGCCAAAATTCAATCCCTAGCACTGTCAGACAGACAGACAGACAGACAGACACACACACACACACACACACACACACACATGAACACACAACTGCTGTTCTGTGGTATAGACACAGAATCACCCCTCTTGATTCTGGTGACCTACACTTCCACTTGAGGGAATCTACTTCAAACTCCTCAGATGGCATTCAGGTCGCTTCTGGATGGAAATCAAGCTCTCTTTTTCAGCACACAGTGGCTCTCCTGCCTCTCTCCTTTGAACATGTGCTACCTCTTCCTGGAAGGCCCTTTGCCCTCTCCTGCGGGAGAGCTCCTATGCATCCTTCAAAACCCTGCTCGACTCCCCTAGACATAATGTCTCATCACAGAATTTGTAGCAGTTCAGGTCCTGGGTTGGAGATGTCCAGGGGTCTGTGCCCTCCCACCGACTCTGCTGCCCGCCTTTGGCTTTCTGAAAGCAAGATCCTACGAGAACTCAGCTCAGGTACCAGCTTGGAAGACAACTGCTGACCACGCTGAAGGGTCTTCAGACATGCTTAGTGAATAAACAGGGCTGTGACTCTCCCAGCCCCTCAGTCCTGACTGCGTCCTCCCCCCAGCTTTCTACTTCCTGTGGCCGTTCCACCTTACCCCATTGTCACCTAGAAAACTTCTCCATCTCCCAGCTTGGCTATGCAGAGTCTACTGGGCCATGGTTTGAGAGCCAAAGATGGGGAACAGAGCCTTTTATAGAATGTTAAAGGAGACAAGAGAATAAGGAAGGGTCGGAGGTCCAGCACTTCCAAGGGCAGGAGCTTTGTCCAACTCGTTGTTGTATCTTCATTTCCTGGATGGACCTGTGAGTGGCCCGAATGGGTGTTAAGCAGACAAGGGAGGAAAGAGCAATCTCCCACTTACCATGCCTCATCGTCTTCTAGAATGCTGATGATCGCCACCCTGGGAAACCATGAACAAATGGGCCATTGTAGACTGTTTATGCCCCTCCAAAAATTTATATGTTGAAACCTGATCTCCAAAGCCACAGCATTAACAAGAGGTCCCTGCTATAGTTTAGGTAAGTGTGCCCCAAAGGCTCATGTGTTGAGACTTGGTCCCCAGCCTGTACTATTGGGAGGTGGTGGAACCTTTAAGAGGTGGGGCCTAGTGGGAGGAGGTTAAGTCATTGGGGGTGGGTCCTTGAAGGGGATATTAGGATCTGCCCCTCCTCTCCCTCTCTTTGCTTCCCAGCCACCATGAGGTGAGCAGCCTCCCCTGCCATGTGCTCCCATGAGGATGTCCTACCTTGTCAAAGGCCCAGACACTATGGGGCCAAGTGACCATAGAGTGAATCTCCAAAACCATGATCCCAAAAAACCATTCCAGCTTAAAAGTTGACTATTTAGGTATTTTTGTCACAGCAGTGGAAAGCTAACTCATACAGTTTCCTAGATAGGAGGGCCAACCCCTAGAGAATGGAATTTGTCCCCATTTAAGAGACCTGAAGGCAGGACATGGTAGCACATGCCTACAATCCTAGTGGCTCAGGAGACTGAGGCAAGAGGATCTCAAGTTTAGAGCCTACCTCTGTAGCAAGGCCCTAAGCAATTCAATAAGACCCTGTCTCAATAAAAAGGGCTGGAGATATGGCTCCGTGGTTAAGCACCCTTGGGTTCATAAAGACAACAAAGAGACCAGAGGGAGCTCATTGGCCCTTTCTGCTATGCAAGGGCACATAAAAGACACCATCTATGAGGCACAGGTCCTTATCAGATACCAGATCTGCTGGCACCTCCATCTTGAGCTTTCCAGCCTCCAGAACTGTGAGAAATCAATTGGTTGTTTTGAAATTGCCCAATTTAAGGTGCTTTGTTAGAGCAGCCTGGACCAGCCAAGACAATGGGTAAGAGCAAAATTGACCTTAAGGTGGCCAGGGAAGTAGTCACAGAATCAAGCCAGGTCCAGTGACATCAGGTCCCCATTCCAGAATGATTATTTCCCAGATTGTATCCCAAAGTACCCTGAGAAGCCGCAGGAGTGGATGTGGAATTGGACCCCACCTCTCCAGGAGGTGCAAAGCCTGGAGAGGGGCCAGGAAAATGGAACACACATCTAGGGCAATGCTGGCTGTTTCTGTGAATGAGGGAAAGACGGATTCTGAGGAGGAAACGAGCCAATGGATTTCCAGTAACTCCTGGTGCCAGTGGGGGTTGGCGGGATGGCAATGGCGGGAAGCATCTCCCTGGCAGAGAGCAGGAGCCCGACAGCCGTCTGGTGGCCCGGGGCTAGAGATGGTTCTAGGGTAGTGATGGATTTGGGTGTGGAGTGCTGTGCTCCAGAGGCAGGAGGGGCACCTCACAGTTCTGCTCAGCTGAAGTTTTGTTAGTGTCCGATACAGGCAGAGCAAGGCTGCCAGAGGTGTCTAGAGATGACATAAAGCTGGAATCTGACACTCGGGATGCAGAGCCAATTTGAAAAAGATAAGGGACTCATCAGCCTGGATGAGTGAGAAGAAACTGGCTAAATGCAATCCAAAATGCTGAAGATTCTGAGTTTCTCAAAACCCACTCCATAAGGAAAAAAATTGGAGATAGAGCTAAAGAGGGGTGTGTGCATGCGTGTGGGCATGCGCATGTAGGGGTGGGGGGAGAGAGAAGGAAACAAGGAGGAGGAAGAGAAAGAGATGAAGGAAAATTGAAGGGTGGTCAACTCAGCCCAGACTCTTAGGCACTATCACAACAGCTAACAGGCTGACAGGTGTGGTGGTATCTGCCTATGATCCCAACCATTCAAGAGGCTGAGGCAGGAAGGTTGCAAGTTCAAGGTCAGCCCCAGTAACTTAGAGAAGCCCTCAGCAACTTTAGAGAGACCAAGTCTCAAAATAAAAAAATAAAATTGTTGGGATGTAGCTCAGTAGTAAGTCACCCCTGGGTTCAATCCCAGTACACAAAAACAAAACAGAACAAAAAATGAACGGACTGTAGTCCAGAGCAGTGTCCCCAAATTCCTGCTGTTATGGGTTGCCTTCATGGTGTTTGTCATGACTATAAGACCCCCTGTGCCCTTGGTGACTTTCAGGTCCCTTCAGTCCCCTCATACAGGAAACCCTAAGTAAGACCAGCATGAAGCTACTTTGGTTGGTCTGTTTTCCCCCTGACGTCACATCCCCTGCCATCAAGGAAAGAGGCTCCTGACCTTGACCGTGGTCAACAGTGGGAGAAACTGGTCACTGGCCTAGGAGTCTCATGGAACGGACAGGCTGTCTCTCAGCGTTGGATGGACTCTTGTGCTGTCCCCAGTGCAGACCTTCAGGGCACAGAAGAACCAGAGGTGAGAGGGACACCGTTCCTTGCTGGAGATGCAGCTCAGTGGTGGGAAGGGAGAGGGTGCTTGGCCACCGCCCAGTGACCTTGTGGCTGGGTGTCACTTTGGTCACAAAATCTCACCACGCCATCCCTCAAACCTGAAGCTCTTCACCAGGGAAGCTGGGGAGTGGGACCCGCCTTGCACAGAGGGTTAAAACAGGCCACTATTCCCCCCTGCCCTTGTCCTTTTCCCCTGGGTACATCTGGGCTCCATGCTCCACCTTCCTCCTCTGGGTGCCTCAGATAGAAGGATGGCATGGCACTGAGGGGACAGCACTGAGTCAGGGTCACCTGTTGCTAGATCACCATATGCTCAGACAAGTCCCCATTCAGGGGCCTTTGTTTCCCAACTGCACCATCACAAGTGGATTGGGCTGATCCACAGGTTGCTGGATACCCACAGCCTGAACTGGCCCACAGATGGGCTTTGCTTGGCCTGGACAATACTATACAATGGCTTTCTATTTTAATCTCTTGACAGCATTTTAAACATAGCTGTATACAGAGAGATGTCTGTATTCATCTTAAAATCTCAGAAGCTCCGGCAGCCCCAGCTGGCCCCTGTCAAAGGGACTAGACTGCCCACTCAGCGCAGTCACTCAGCCGGTGCCTGTCTGGCACTCTCCTGGCCTGAGCACCTCCCTGAACCAACCGAATGCACTCAGAGCTGTGCACCCCGTGCACACAGTGGGTCCTCCAAAAGCTTGGAGGGATCTCTTCTGGCCAAAAAGACTTGAACCAAATCTGGACTGCACTTCTTTGGCATTCTCATTTCCAAAATGACCAGGGTAACTGAGATGCCCACAGTGATTGGAAGAGTTTATGGCAAATTCCAAGACGTCAGAGAGCTCTGCTCATGTCTAGGGAGGAAATTTTCCTTTTTTTTTTTTTTTTTCCAATAAATACTACTTCCTTTGGATGAAGTCAGCAAGAGGCCAGTCCCTACCAAGCCCCTTCTCTCCTGTGGCAGGGGCTGAAGTGAGATCTCAGCCGTCTAGTCGTTCTGCGCCTGCACACTCTCCAGTGTGTCTTCTCACTGGTTCTAGAAAACACAGCCATGTCTGCATGACTGGGCGCCCTGGGTGGACCCTGCCCTGAGAGGACACCCTACCCATCAGGAGCCCTTTTCACCAGACTCTTTGTACCTCGGCCCATGGCAGTACTCCCGAGGACCTGTGGCCCTATTGACTCTTGTCATCAAGTTTCCCAAGCTGCCCCCATGATGTGCCTTCCTGGTCTCACACCACCACATCTCAGTGTCACCAGGTGGGGGCTTTCTGGGGTCTTGGGCAAGGTGGAGTGTGTCCTCTGTCCTCCCTATGCCCAAACTGTCAGGCTGGCAAGGGTGTTCCGTGTGGACACGAGAGCCAGTTAGCCCAGCAGGCAATGAGCGTACAGCGTGTAGCTGGGAGCCCAGAGGTTCACACCGGAGCCCCGTGGCCCAGAGAGGAGGGCCCTAGAACCCCTACAACAGCCTGTGGGTGGGATTACTCCATGATTCATCACTCAGACAGGATACAGAGAAGGAGGTCAGGACAACAGGCACGAGGAAACAAGACCTGCCCCAAAATACTGGAGGTGGGGAGCCACCCTACAAGTCAGTAACAAGAACTAACTTTCTTTCTTTCTTTCTTTCTTTCTTTCTTTCTTTCTTTCTTTCTTTCTTTCTTTCTTTCTTTCTTTCTTTCTTTCTTTCTCTCTTTCTT